TGTAGGGGGGCTGGTGACGTCATTGCCTAAAACATAATGTTTAATATTTTAAAAAACAAAGCAGCACAAACGAAACTTTTACCTGCACAAACCAGCACAAACGAAGCACAAACAAACGAGACTATTTCGGGTGAATTTGGAGCGGGTGGGGGGGCTGAGTGACCTGAGAATGACCTTTAAATAAATATGTTATATCTAACAAACCAAAGCAGCACAAATGAAAATTTTTACAGCACAAACCAGCAGAAACGGAGCACAAACGATTGAGACTATTTTTGCGACTTTTGCGTTGGGTGGGGGGCCAACTTCTTTTGGGGTTAGTAATGGTGTGAGACAAGGAGGGATTTTGTCCCCAATTCGGTTTAATCTTTACATGGATGATCTATCTGAATGTTTGATTGCTTGTAAAACTGGGTGTATGATTGGGAATATTCTAGAATATTCTAATCATATTATGTATGCAGATGATCTTGTGGTGTTTAGTCCTAGCAGTGCTGGTCTTTTAACAGCTTTTAACTATGTGTTCTGATTATGGTCTTGAACATGATATTTTATATAATCCTGATAAGAATGTGGTTATGATTTGCAGAACTAAGGAGGATAAAAGCATACAATTTCCAGTTTTCAAGTTGTCTAATAAGAGTCTCACTGTGTGTGCGAAAGTAAAATACCTTGGACATTTCATCACTGAACGCATGACAGACGATGAGGATATTGAAAGGAAACGCTGTATGATGTATATGCAGGCGAATATACTTTTACGTAAGTTTAGTTTCTGTTCAGATGAGGTGAAGGTGTCACTTTTTAAAGCATATTGTACAACACTGTACACTCTTAAAAATAAAGGTGCTTCACGATGCCATAGAAGAACCTTTTTGTCTAAATGGTTCCATAAAGAACCTTTAACATCTGAAGAACCTTTCTGTTTCACAAAAGGTTCTTTGTGGCGAAAAAAGGTTCTTCAGATTATAAAAAGGTAAGAAAGAGATGGTTCTTTAAAGAACCTTTGACTGAATGGTTCTTTGTGGAACCAAAAATGGTTCTTCTATGGCATCGCTTGAAGAACCTTTTGAAGCACCTTTATTTTTAAGAGTGTATACTGCTCATCTGTGGTTCAACTATAGAACATCTAGTTTACAGAAGCTGCAAGTAGCTTATAATGATGCAATGATAATTTTACTAAAGAGACCTAGATGGCATAGTGCAAGTAAAATGTTTGCGAGTGCAAGAGTAATCACTTTTAAAGCACTGTTACGAAATCTTATGTATAGATTTATCTGCCGGCTAAATGCTTCAAAAAATTTGATTAGTGTGGGTCTATCAAATATAAGGGTTAGTACTACACGGTATCAGTCAAAGCTGTGGAGACATTGGTATTGTTGTATTTTGTAACTTTTTATTGTGTGTGGTAGATGCTGTGGGTTGTATATGTTGTCCTATTGTCTTGTTTTTTAATTTTTTTATTTGGACCTTGAGTCTGTAATAAAGATTGATTGATATGTCATGTTGTCAGTGCTAAGATAAACAGTGTGTCTATCATCTGTTGTATCCGAAAAAATCTGTTTGTCAATTGGTGCCACTAATTGTACAGGAGTCATTCGTTTTTCATACCCTGTTTCCATCATTCTTAATGCAGTTTTCTTGTGATATTTGTTGGATTTTCATTTCACATTTGGTGCGAATAGAGCATTAGGCTATCCAATGATATTTTACTTCCAACTAACCCAGTGGTATTTCTAGACAGGTCCATCCGTAATGAAATGTGTCTAACTTCTTGTTTGGATGCCCTGTATGGGAGCCATGCCCAGTTAAATACAGACGCTTACTCGGCCATTAGAAATCATAACAAGAGAAGCACTATCAT